TATGGCCCAGTTACATATGATAAATTAACTAAAATATCTAAATCAAAACCGTGCAATACTTTTGTCCTCCCCCGGTAGTTTATCAATACATTAAACAATTCTATTTTGGTTATATTAATAGTGATAATGTCATGTGCCAACAATGATCAATCTTCGATTACATATATATATACCCCTAATATCATTTTTTTCCCATTACTGAAACAATGTCTAACGTTAAAATTTCTTTTATTGATGACTCTACATCTGATCTTCCAAAAATTGAAGAAGTGAAAGAATGGGGTCGTAATGATGTTAAAGAATTTTTGCAGAGTAGGAAAGCTGAATTAGACATTAATGACGAAGTTATCAATATATTATATGATCAGGAAATTAATGGTAAAAGTTTCCTTGAATTATCAGTCCATCTACTTCAAAATATATTACCTCTTGGTCCAGCAATGAGCATCAGTAATTTAATTAATAAAGTTCAAGAAGGTAAGCAAGCTTCATTTTTGCACACGTTTCACATTCACCAATAATACTGAATATTTACTAATTACTTTCTATTCTGTCAAATAAATATATTCACCTATTTCGTTTATTTATTTACTTCAATTTAATATTTGGTATACTGCGACGCTGACTAACTTGAATTATTTCCCCCTCTTCTGCATTTCAAGGTAACTGCTGCGCGAGATTCAGATGTTATCGCCCATTCGTTTATTATTTATTAGCTTTGATGTCTTTTTTAGTTTAAATAACTATATTTATTTATTTAATAGACGGAGGTAACTAATATAAAAAAAGGAAACAATATAACAAAATTTTCATCTCCTAATGCTCACTTGTATTTCGTATAGAAGGTTTGCCTTCTTTAAAGAAAATTGAGAAAATTGGTAGGAACATGCATTGTTTATATTATTCAATTATTTTGTAATTATGAAACTAATGATGTAAAGTTGAATACTTTAGCAAATACAATCCCACGAATGAACACGTTCCCTGTCAACGTAGAAATACCATATATCGTACCGCCCAAACTCGAAAAGGATGTAATCCAATTGGTTGAATTGAATTATACGAATATGATCTTCAAAAATTTCCGACCAAATGATTATCATGGAATGGTGATTGCCGGTGGGTCCGGGATCGGAAAAACTCGTGCCGGAATTGAAATATCTAGAGTTCTTAAGAAACATCCAGATTATCAACCATTAATCGCGGCGAAAACTTTGTATGTACGTCATGTTTTCCTTCGACAATTATGTTCTCCTTTAAATTTGCCTTCGCAAGCGAATACGGAAAATGCGTTCTACCGTGATGCAAAAGGAATGCAATCGCAAGGAGTTGATCTGTACAGCGATGAAGAACAGGAAGAGGTCGAGAATTTGATTGATTTAAATTACAAATTCTTTCACAAAAGTAAGTACTTGAATCATTCAGAAGATAATTTAACTGCAGGAAGGGCTTTAGCGCTCGGGATAGCGACTTACTATTTTACTGGACGATGGGGAACGACGGTGCAAAAAAAGATGCTTAAAATTGACCGGTCTTTTAGTGATCTCACAACCGTGATCAAACTTATCCGAAGAGATCTCGGTGCTATTGATGACAGATCACACTTGATTATCTTCGTTCAAGTTGACGAGTTCCAGCTTGACCCCAAGCTCACGGTTGCCATGCTTCGCTTTTTAACGGAATATATCGCGGAAGGCAATTTCACAAATGAAAGCACCGTTTTAATTCCAATCATGACTGGTACATCATCAATATTGATTGAGAATATGGAAGGTTCTGCTACAATGTATTCTTTAAGACATCATTTTCTATCTCCATTGGGAAAAAAGATTTCTTGCGAACTTGTTGCAAGTTCCGCACATTATCATGCAGCAATAAAAAGTCGAAATGTGATGTATACAGAGGTGAAAGAGAATACCAATACACTTGTGTCTGTATTAATTGATGCTTGTGGTGGCGTTGCCATTTGTCTGATTCAACTCGGGTATTTCTTGGGAAGTTTTTTTCCGGGAGAACTTGATGCAAGCGAAAATATTAAAGAATTATGGAAAGATCTGGTGAATTGGGCTACAACAAAATACCATAAAGCTGTTTGGGAGAAGTGCTTTTTAGGGGAAAAAAACCTATTGAAATGGATGACTTACGTTCATTTCCAGTGGAAGGTGACACGTAATACTATAATCAATAGTATTACGGTTGGAACTTATGAACATAGAGGCATTATATTTTTGAAGGGTGATGATGATGATGAATTAACTGCATGTTTTCCTCTGATCTTCATAAATACTATTGCTTCAATATATAAACTTCGCTTCTTAGAAATTTTGTTAAACCCCTTGTGTCGATTGGATGAAGATTCTTTTCCAGATTTTATCATGGCTAAACATTACTCAGGATACTATTTGCTGCGGCAGGCAGGTTATACAACTGTCCAGTTTAGGGAAATATACGGAAACTTTGTTCGCGGGTCACAACAGCTTTTGAATAAAAATATCACAATTCACGAGGACGTCCGACTTTTTTCTACACCGATAGTACGTCCGAAATGTCCTGGTGAATATTCCGAATTTGAAAAGCCACAAATATCGGATCGTAAGAAGATAGAAGTTATTGCGGAAGGTGAAAAGTACAAAGAAAAGATTATCGATTCCACCAGTGGTAAATTCATTATTTGCATCGCAAAACGATCTAAGACGGCCGATGCCATCCTTCCTCATGCAGATGAACAGTATAAGTATGTTGCAGCGCTTTCATCAGGGCATCAGCTACCAGCCAGCGCTGTTTGTCAAATCAATATGGAAGTTGTCCTAAATGAAATCAAGAAGGCAATTGGTCACACTGCATTTGTCTAGTATCACCTAAAACATTTGTAGGTGATATTGATAAACTTCCGCTAACTGTAGCAGTATTATGCGGCAATGACCTTTTTTCTTTTATCGGTGTTTATGGTGGGTTGTTGAGATTCATTGCAAAATCACCAGACGAATTAGAATATGACGAAACCAAAGATGAGAAAGAATAATTACATTAATAATATTTTTTTTGATTTTCTACACATATCTATCAAATTTCCAAATTTTACTAGTATGTTTTTAGCTGCCAATATAATTGAATAAAAGCTAAAATGAAACCGATATATTTTTTTATCAATTCAATAAATTACGTCTATTAAAATAAAGATTTACTCTGAACATTATTTTTACTTAATCTTGATTTAAATGGTAAAAAATTTGAGATATACAATTTTTTATTTTAATGATCGATTTTATATTAATGTTATAGATCGTTTATAATTGAAAAGTTAAATTTAATAAATTACTTCCGCATTATGATGATAAGATCAAAAAACGTCACAATCGACAATTTTATTGGAAGATCAACACTTAGGCAGCAGCATTGAAAATACTTGGAGTTAGATCGATTAATATGTAAAAAATAAAAAAGATTCGATTCGATTCGATTCATTTTACTATTTTGAATGAATCGATTTTCGCAGAATCGATTCCAAAACCTATTTCTGTCGAACAAGACAAATTTCATTGATTTTACTTTTCTTTTATTCTTAAATGATAATGAAATGTGAAAAGAAGAAATTAGAAGGCATATAAATATTAGTCACAAAATTGGCGCCAGAATAAAATAATTTAAACAAACATTTCATTTGAAAGTTTCAATATTTGTTTTATCTAGAAATTTTGGAAGTTTAAGTATATTTATTTATATTTGGCTATAAGAAAGATTTTATATTACGTTATCCAATCCCTTCTCCGGAAGTTATGATATTTGTCGATCTTCCAAAACTTGTCCTAGCGGATAGTATAACCAAAAGGAATTGTTAAAGATGTATTTTAAGAATTCGATAGGAAGTTGTTTGAAAATTTACATGCACCTTGGTCATTAGAGAAATTTTCATTTTAAAGTAATGCTAACAAAAACAGAAGGGTGTGCCAAAATACTTTTCTCGGAAACTTCGATGACCTTATATTGGAATCGATTTCTACCAAAATTTCAGTTACAACATCATTAATATCATTTCTTTTGTATATTATCTGATTTGAGAAAAAAAAATATCTATCTATAAAAACCAATATTATAAACAAAAAAAAAAATAGTAAGAATTTGCAGTTTTCGGGGTACTTATTCCCCCATAATAATTTTATTATTTTAAATTTTTTTTTTTTTTAATTATTATTATTATTTTTTTTAGCAAATAATAAGATCGTAAATACGTTTATTTTATTATTATTATATATTTTTTTTTTGATTATACGCTAGTTCTAAGTTTTTATTTTTAATTATTTTTATTATTAACTACAATTTACACGGTGTTGCCCGGTTAATATTAACCTACCTGTATTAAAATATTAAAAAATCAAATTTTCTTGATACATGAGATGAAATTTTGTCAAAGAGCTTTATCTATGTTTTCAAATTCTTGATTAAAGCATCTGCAATGAAATCAAAGAGGTCCCAAACAACCTTGAATTTTTTCTCAACGCTCAAAGGAGACACTAATTAATGAATCCACATTGATTCTGTACACAACCCAATGAATAATGAAAGCTTGATCAAATTCTTAATATTTTACTGGAATCTTTCACATTAATAATAAAATAATTAAAAAAAGAAAAATCTTACCGGACCAGATAAATCTGAAAAAAAGAACCAAAAAAAAATATATCTGTTAAAAAAAAAAATTATAACAAATAAACCACTAAAAAAATAAATAAAAACTTAGAACTAGCGTATAATCAAAAAAATATACATATTTACGATCTTATTATTTGCTAAAAAAAAATAATAATTAAAAAAAAAAAAAAATACATCCAATTTCAGATACTTTTTATGCTATCTGAATTCCAACTACAGATAACATATAAAATTAATTTTGAGCCCAAATTTTTAAACCAATTAATTATTGACAAATTCTTTTACATGAATTTAAAAGATCAATAAAAAATTAAAAATTTTTTTTTTTACATATTTAATTTCACCTTACATTTTAAGTTATTTATATTTAATTATTTTGTTTATTTGATTATTTTATAATTAGTTATTTTATTTATTTAGTTAATTTCTATTTTTATTTTAGTTTGATAATTTTAGTTATTTAACAATTTTTCCTATTTAAGCATTAAAATTATTTTAAATTTTAGCTATATATAAATGCAAAATTTCTTTTTTTTTTATGCTAAAAAATTTTAAATAAAAACAAATATCAAATTCATATAGTTAAAGAACCATTTGAATTACTTTATAAAAATTTTGAAAAATACATAAAAAATCAAAAATATGATTTATTAAATTTTTAAATTTTCGTTTAAAAAATTCTGATTTTACTAAAATAAAGATACAGAATATTTATTATTTACTAAAATTATTGAAAAAAAATTTATAAATGATAATTTACAAATGGAAAAAAATAAATTTAATGTAAATAAAATTTTAAAAAATAATTATTTAATTAATTTTATTTATTATTATAATAAATTTATTTAATTATTTAATAGGAAGATAAAAAATCTTTATTAATTCTTGGTTGGTAGGCTACTTGTAATAATAATGAAAATGAAATTTCTACTGGTATTATGGCTTATCATAGTATAAATAATAATAATAATTAAAATAATATTATTATACAAAGTAAAGAAAATACAATTAAATTAGACAATATTTTAAAAAGTCAGCAAAATTATAATTAGGTAATAAATTTTATTAATTTGTCTTATAATTAAAAAGGTTTAAATTAATTTATTTTATAATAGTTTTCACTTGATTAGATATATGAAGGTTATAACTAAGGTTGCTTGTCTAAACTCATTTTTGATTTGGCAAAACAGTTAAACCTTTAGTTTTGCTAAATTTTTACTAAGTATTTAATATAGTTTTGCCATTTTTATAAGCTTTGATATAGTTTTATCTTTTTTCCAAATTTTGCAGCTTTTTTAATAAGGTTTTAATATAATTTAACCAAGTTTTACTTTTACCATTTAGATGTCTTTCTAAACTCTTGATTTCGTTCAGCAATCTTAGTTATAACATATCAAATTTAGTTGAAAGTTCTGCAAAAAAAATATCTGAAAAATCAAAGTATAGTCAGACCCCTCTATAGTCACCAGGTCAGTTCAGATAAAATTGATGATTATACAGGGGTGTGACTGTAAGCATCGAACCTCTGTATAATTACTATTATATAATAAATCACGTGAAGTGACTATGTAAAGGTTTATCCCATATAAAATTATTTTATTAACTGTTTATTTAATACATACAAAAGTAATTAAACTGTTCATTAATAAATGTACTACTATGCTAATTAAATGTTAAATACTGTAAACATTACTATACTATATTAATTTTCGCAAATATTAAAAAAATTAGTTATAGACATTTACTTCCTAGAACAAAGTTCAAGCCGTTGTATAATATTAAAGTATTTTTTAAACACATGCATGTCTTCGACATCAAATTCATCTAGTGGTTGTTGTTCAAAAAAGG